GGGGGTGGAGTGGTGGGCGTGGGAAAAAGAACAGAGGCAAATGCAGTGCATCTTTGTTTCCTTTCCTTTTCCCTTCTTTCTTTCTTTTTTTTTAATTTTTTATTAGGGAGAATTTGTCAGAGCCCCCTAAAAGATGTGGTGTATCCCCAGATGCCCCTAGAAAATGCGGCATTTTGTTGAATGCCCCCAGAAGATTGGGTATTCGCCAAATGCCCTGCTGGCAGCGGGTCAAAATTGCTTTAATCGCGTTGTAAGGACCTGGCATATCTTCCAGGCCCATGACGCAAGGGGTATGCCCAGAAGGGCATTCGGTGAATACCGATTCTTTGAGGGGCAGCAAAAGAAATAGTGTCTTTCAGGGGCATGTGAAGAAAGCTGGCATCTTTCAGGGGCATCTGAAGAAATACTGCATCTTTCAGGGGCATTCGACAAATTTTCCCTTTTTATATTTGCTGCTTCTGTACTCTTTTGCATTTTCCTGGTTGGAGGCCTGTCCGCATTTACTAATTTCAGTGCAAGTGCGCACACACCCATCTCTCTCTCTCTCTCTCTCTCTCTCTCTCTCTCTCTCTCTCTCTCTCTCTCTCTCTCTCTCTCTCTCTCTCTCAATCTCTCTCTCTCTTCATCGTTGCTTTTTATGTCTCCGCTTATACACTGAGCTTTTGCGCTTCATTAACCATTTTTTGATATTTCAGTTTCGTACTTCGCAAAATAATTTACGAGGATGGTGGTGGTGGCCAACGTCGTCTTTTCGTGCTCTTCGGCCTCGAGCCCTGCTTGTTTCAAAATTGGCCAAGGGGCGACCCGACTTCTAACCCTGGGATGTGCCCAAAAATAATGTTTTTGGGTTCCTTGGGAATTTCAGCTTCTCACTCCGAAGTACACAAAAAGGCATTGAGAATTTGTGATCGAAATTGAGGTCCTACTGACCAGGTTCGTTGTCCCTGGCCATGAGTATACACCCATAAGAGTTCAGTCAAGTTGGACCTTACTGCAGTTCTCATCTCGGCAGAGCAGAGGAGGGAGTGGAAAAGATTGGCACCGGTTTTCTTGACAGAGGCTTGGAGTACCTTTGTGGTTAACTGATCAGTTTTCCGCACTTAAAGGTCTGTGTGTCAAACCCCACGTCATAAACAAGTTAGGGCACCTCACATAAATATAGCATGTCTACATGTATGTGTGTGTGTGTGTGTGTGTGTGTGTGTGTGTGTGATGATGTGTCTGTGTATGATGATGAGTGTGTGTGTGTGTGTGTGTGTGTGTGACACTGTGTGTGTGTGTGTGACACAGTGTGTGTGTGA